AGCCCTGGCTTTCTTAGAACACCCTTCACGTCTTGGGTCTAGTGTCACTTCACACAAAGCCTCCCTTGACCCGCCAGCCTAAGTCAAATGTCTTCGCTAGCCAAGCTCTTAGAGGGGTGATCCTTCCTTCCCAGCCCTCAAATCTAACTTCAGCTCTTTGCAGGATGGGTGCGATTAATATTTCTCGCCCTCTCACATGAACAGAGCTGTCGCCGGTGCCTCGGCGGTGCCTAGCACCGTGCCTGGCACAGAGGAGGTGTGCTCTACACAGCCCTTGAATGTTGAAAGAACGAGAGTGCACTGAGCAGGGAGGGCCCTAGTGGATGAACAGGACTTTGCGAGGTGGAAGAGGCGGGGAGGGGCACGGCATATGTCTAGGAAGTGCGGGCAGGAGGTACAGGAAGACAGGTAGTGTGGCTGGCGCGGGAGGTAGAGCTAAGAAGGTGGACCGGGCCGGCCGGGAGAGGCCTTGCCCACCAGGCCACGGTGTGGAATGATGGTGTCGTTCTCAGCAGCCCATCTCCCAGCAGAACCAAGCCGAGAGGCAGGAATCGGAGGATTTGCGGGGTGAGGGCCAGGCACAGTGTAGCTAGCTCAGCAGTTCCCCTTTGCAGATGAGGCTGGAGAGTCTTCCTCCTGACACTTCACGGCTCTGCTATGCTTCCTGTTCGACTCTGAGACCCGCCTTGCAAATGCAAAAGGGGCCCCCAGCTGGAGACCTGAAAGGAATGAGCCAGGACCTTCCAGAAATCAGGCGACAAAAAGAACAGTCTGGAAGGCTGGCTAAGAGTGTGGGCCCTGGAACTGGACCGCCTGGGTGCGAATCCCAGTTTTGCTCGCTTGACTGTTGGTTCTGTGACCTTAGACAAGTTGCTTGACTTCTCTGATCCTGATTCCTCATCTGCAAAACGGGAATCGCAACAGTGCTGAGTTGCACGGGGTTGCACGCAGTAAGCGCTCGATGCACGCTGTGTGTTGTTATTGCTCGTGTTATGACCTCCAGGATGAGAAAGAAAAGGGACGAGCTTTAAGCACCTGCCACATCTGGACCCTGTCTCATCTCACCCGCCTCACCCTCACCTCTCAGTTGAGATGAAAAGCTCAGGGAGGTTGAGCCACGTAGGTCTCCTAGGACTTTCTTAGAGGGTTTATTCCTAGGAATGTAACATCACTGGAATCAGCCTTCTCTCTCTCTCCCTCTAATCTTGAATAACTTCCCAATATTAACCCACTCTTTGTCCTTTGGCAAATAACTTCTCCCTGAGCCTCAGGCTTCCCAACTATAAAATTATGGGTAAATATTGCTGACTGCTGTCACAAACAACCCCCTCATCTCAGTGGCTTAACACAAAGGTTTGTTTCTTGCTCATGGCCCAGTGCATTGTGGGCCATAGGGGTGGGATGCTCCACGCAGTCTTCAGGGGTCTGGGCTGCTGCCATCTATTGGCTCGGTCTCCCCTAGGGCCTGAGTTCTCCCCTGGCTCCTGAGCCACTGGCCGTGAGGAAAGGAAGGTGCTCTGACACACCTCAGCCCGGAGATGGCAGAGCTCACCTCCATCCACATTCCACTGGCAAGAACTAGTCATGGAGCCCAGTTAGCTGCAGAGGGGCTGGGAAACATGGTCCAGCCGTGTGCCAAGAGGGAGGGCAACCCGGCCCCGGGTGATCACCGAGCCCATCTCTGTGGCCCCCACTGGCCACACTGGAGTACAGAGGTCAGGACTCTCGGGTCTTTCTGCCTGCAGTCTGGGCCCTCCCTCCCTGAGCGCCGTCCCTCCCCCACCCCCCAGGAGGAGAACCAGGCCCTGCCAAGCCTCCTCCGAGGAGGGCGAGGACGAGGGCGGGTGGTGGGTGAGATAATGATCTTATCAAGCGTATTGCCTCTTGGAAGGCAGGTGCTGGAGATAAACCAAGTCTGCTTCGGTTTTCCTCTGTTCCCTTCACATCTCTCCCCAAGATAAATTTAGCCAGCCCTCACTTTGAACGGCAGTGCCCGGATGCCGACTTTGCCGTGCTCTGAGTCGATGTCAGAGCATTTTTTCATGGCTGCACCCTAGGGCCAGGAATGCAGACTTGAGCGCAGTCCCAGCCTCTGCCCTGCCTCAAACAGCTGCGACCCACCGTCCCGCCCCTGCCCAGTCTCCATGGGCATCCTTTGCCACATCTCAGACAAGGGCTCTGAGTTCCCCAGTGACGGGAGACAGAGCACAGAATGTAGAAGGGCTTCGAGATCTGGCACCGTGGTGGCCACCGAGCACTCAAAGGCAAGACGGTTCCGGGTTAAGAGAAGAGGCTCGCGCGGGTCAGAACCCCGGCTCAGGGCAATTACCTCTCCGCTGTCTCCTCATCCATACGATGGGTCATGGCGCCTTCTTCCTGAGATTCACTGAGATGTCTGGGTTAAGAGATTTGCCCATTTGTCTGGTGCTCTGTGCATGTATGTGGGTGTGCCGATGGTAATGGTCCATACTAGCCACAGTGGGGACTTCCTGGAGCCTTCCGCCCATCCCAGATGCTTCTTCTGCAAACTTCTTTAAAATCTCCTGAGAGGCCTCCTTGGAGAATCACGTTCTTAGAACTCCTCATCTTTGTAGAATCACATTCTTGGACCTCCTCATCTTTCCAGAAACGACTTCCTTTCTGGGTCCATTCTCTTCTCCTCCTGCTGGTGCAACTCGAGTTCACTCCATTTTGCCTTCATCTCTGACGCTCTCTGCCGCCACCCCCCAGGCTACAACTGAGCATATTTATAAAGACGGTTCCGCATCTTTCCATCTTCCTTTCCTCCGAGTCCTTCCTGACCCTGATAAACCTCTCCAGGCCTGCGCCTCCTGCCCTGTGAAGTGGGGATGGCAAGGGTAGGTGTCCTGGGAGGAAACAGTGGTGGTCTCAAGGGATTATTAACAAAGGTGCTTGCAGGATAGCCAGAAGAGCCGGAACTAAGGAGCCTGGGGAAGGCCCAGGGCTGGTCGCAGGGGAATGCGGCTCCCACCAGGCTGCCGGGGTGGGGTGAGGGGTGGGGAGCAGCCACAGAGCCTGAGAGGTCCAGCTGCAGGACAGGCCACCCTGTGGGCCCTGGGCCTCAGGCAGGAATTCAGCTGCTGTTGGAGACCCAACAGAGAAGAATTGGGAGACTCGTCACCCTGACTCTACTTCCCCCACCCCACCTCCACCCCCTGATCACCTGTGGGTTCCTCCCATTGGCTGAACCCAATTGGACCAGAGGGCAGGGAGCTAGCTGGGTGGACACTATCTCTACAGACCAGGCTCGTGGGCCCTGCAGGGAGTGGGTGCGGAGTGGGTGCAGAGGGGCTGCCCACCTACTGGGTGGGTCCCAGTGTTTACCCCTCTCACCAACAGACCTGCCAGGGGGGCACAAGCACCCCCATGTTATAGTCATAGAAAGCGAAACCCTGAGCACTGAGGCACATAAAAGGCCACACTGCCGGCAGGTGGTGGAGAGGATTAGACTCATTTCTGCCTGACCCCAAAGTTCCACACAGTCAGAGCAGGCGATGGCGGTGGCCAACTGTCTGTGCTTTAAGGTGCCCCTTCCCCAAGCGCGATCTTCCGCCCAGGCCTGTAATCCCTCCGTGATTTATTCACTGGGGCCTGAGCTTTTCCTCCTCCCTGCTGTGCGAACGTCCCTGCGAGGGTCATCACGTCAGTCACGGAACATTTTCAGGGAGGGAGGTTCCCAGACCCCTCTTTGTCCTGGCCAGGCCTTGGGAGTCTGTGGGGACTGGAAAGCAGCCGGCCCCCCCAAAATCCCAACGTCCACCCCGCACAGTCATGGAGCTTTCCGAGCCCTCTGGCTCCGTCACCTCATTCCTCAGCGTGTCCTCGGGGGGCCTCGCATCAGGGGCCCACTGCACAGCTGGGGGGCAGCAGCCCAATAACATTACACATTGCTAAGGTCAGCATTCCACCTGTGATGGGCAGAGCCACGTGGGGAGAAACGCACTGGCTTCAGAAGCCGAAAGACAATGCGGTTTGAGCCCTTCCTACAGGCAAGCCCCTTGACCACCACAGCCATGTGCAGAACCGGGGGGCGCCCGCCTCCCCGTGTTCCCTGAGAAGTAAACGGCATCGTTCATGTCAGTCCCCAGCAGTTCCTGGCGCCCAGCAGCCCAGGCAGAGGAGGTATCGGGGACACAGTCTTCAACATGGGCAAATCTGACCCCGAGTCCCAGCCAGCTGGGTAACCCTGGACAAGTCACTTAGCCCCCTGGAGCACATTTGAAAACTAGAGCAGTCACACCCCTGTCCCACAGGCTTGTCTCGAAGGGGAAGTGAGATGAGGTGTCTGAAAGCGCCTTTTAGACTTCCCTAGAAATAGATTTATTTCTTCAGCAATATGGACAGGCAAACGTCGGCGCTCATTTCGCGGAGCTTCCTGTGTTCCAGGCCCCGTCCCAAACTCCCGTTGCATAAGGGTTCATCCCGTCCTCACGGCAACGCCGGGAAGTAGGAATTCCGTGTCACTCCCACTCACGAATGAGAAAGTCGAGTCTCAGAGAAGTTAAGTGACCGGCCCAAGGTTGCACAGCTGGTCAGTGGCAGAGCCAGGCTGTGAACCCGAGCGAGCAGGCCCAGAGGCCTGCGGACAGGAAAGCACCTGCTGTGAGCCCGCCCAGGATACCCAAGCAAACAGAACTGAAGAAGCACGCAGTTCCCCATCCGCACCCCCCAGCCTGGCTCTAACTTTCACACACATCGGAACCATCAAGGGAAGTTATGCAAAAGGCAGAGTCCTGGCCCCACCCACAGGGATGCTGATTCCGTGGGTTCAGAGTGGAGCCTGACACTCTGCCTTGAACGAGCCCCCAAGATGACGCCTGCGCAAGGGGGTGGGTAACTGCTCAGGAAGGACCGTGCCAGGTGTCCCGCCAAGCCATCGGTCAGGGTTGCTCGGGAAGTGACGGTCGTACGCTCCAGAGGGGACCCTGCAGGCTCAGGCAGGAGCCACACTGGGACCCCCCTTTGCCTCTGGCCCCCAGGTTTGCCAAGTACTACAAGACGGAGAACGGCAGTGAGTACCGCACGCTCCTGAAGGCCTTTGGCATCCGCTTTGACGTCCTGGTGTACGGGAATGTGAGTCCTTGCGCCCGGCAGACGGGTGGATAGGGGAGGAAACCCACACCAGTCCCTGGCCCTGAAGAGGCCCTTGGCTGGTCACGCCTCCAGGCTCCTCACCTGTGCTGTGAAGGGGCGGGGCCTGCTGCTTCACCAAGAACCCTTCCAGCTCCACTGTCTCTCTGGCTGGGAGTCCAAGTTCAGCCCCTGCCCTCACTCTCGCCCTGCTGGACCCCCGCCCACTCACCTCGGTCTTTGTTCATACAGGCTGGCAAGTTCAACATCATCCCCACCATCATCAGCTCTGTGGCAGCCTTCACCTCTGTGGGAGTGGTGAGTTCAGCCCCTCCAGGCTCTGACCCAAGGCCAGTCAGGGAAGGGCCCCCGCTGGCAGGGGTGGGCAGGGCATGACCCAGGTAACCCCGCTTCTGCCTAGAATGAACAGTCCAACCTCTAGCCAGGTGCTGCAGTCTCCCCCACCACCTCCCTGTAGGCTCAGCCCTTGCTTGAATACCTCTAGTCCTGGAGAACTCATTCCCTCTAGCAGCGGCCTGCTCCCGTGCAGGAGGCTCCGCCTGGCACAAAGTTCCTGTCCTTCCCCATGAAGGTGCGGGAGGAGGCTCCAGGCACCTTGACGGAGACAGAGCCCCGCCCCCAGGAACTTAGACCCATCAACCCCTCTGCTTCACCCACCAAGTCTTCTCCCTGCATTTTGCTCTGGGGTCACCCCGGGAGCTGAGGAGGAGGGTCATTCCACGGGGCCCTTGGATATTCTTCTAAGAGGAAAGGTCACGTGTCTCTGGAGGACTCGCGCCAGCCCCCACCTGCTGTCTGCCTGAGCGCCAACCTGCCCATTGCTCAGGCAGCTCAGGGCGTGCCTGCCTCTCCTCTTCCAGGGCACTGTCCTGTGTGACATCATCCTGCTCAACTTCCTCAAGGGGGCTGACCAGTACAAAGCCAAGAAGTTCGAGGAGGTGAGCGGGGTCTTGTGAGAGGTGGCAGCACAGGGCAGGAAGGGCCACTGCCACTGTGACCCTCAGTGGCTCACCTTCCAAAGGGAAGTTCTTGGACCTCAGTACAAATTTGGGGGTGCAGACAAGAGGTGGCTGGGCCAAGAGTAGGCTCTGTGACGATCACGGGGGGCTCCGCGGGTTGTCACTGTCAACATCCCCATGCACTTATCGTCCCCTCTCCATTTCCTGGGCGGGATAAACCTGCTACGGATTGGCTCAGGTTTCTGTTTTCCCTTGAGGTATGTGGATGGGGTCTCAGGATCACACAGACTTGTCGTAGCACCCCTAATGCCTGGGCCGCGGGCGAGGTCTGTCCCATGGGGCCCTTGCCCATAGTCAGAGCTCGATAATGCAGCCTTCCACCTGCAGGTGAATGAGACCACGCTGAAGGTCGCTGCCTCGGCCAACCCAGTGTACCCCAGTGACCAGACCACAGAGGAGAAACAGTCCACAGATTCGGGGGCCTACTCCATTGGCCACTAGGGCCTCAGCCAGGGCCCCATGCTCACCCTTGGACTCCAGGCCCCCCAACAGGGGACCCCACCTGGGCGAGGGGGGATGGGAAGCGGGAGGGGCTCTCATTTCTGCTGCTCACCCAGTACTCTGGCAGGTAGGTAGTGCCGCCTGCTGAGACCTCGATCCTACCTTCACTCCTCACGTCACCCCCGTCTGCTTCCCGGGACCCCCAAGGCAGTAGCACTGAGCAGTCCTCCCCCCTTTCAAAGAATAGAGATCATAATAATAATAACGAGTGGCCACGAGGGCCCGCCAAGAGTGAGGCACTTCACACGTATTATCTCATGTAATCCTTAGAATAATCCTATGAGGTAGATATTAGGTTCCCTGTTTTGAAGATAAACTGAAGCTCAGAGAGACAGTCATTTGCCCAAAGCCACAGAGCCAGGAAGTGAGAGAGCTGAGATTGGAACCCAGGTCTGACTAACTCCTTTGCCCACACCCCACAAAAGAAGGATGAACTAACTCCCCAGGGCGTCAGCCCCTGTTCCTCCAGCCTCCGGCCTCCACCCTGCCCGTCACTGGGTTCTGCTTCATAAAGTATAAGCCCCATGCTGTCCCCAGGAACTCAGTTCCCATCTTAGGGGAGACCAGTGAGACAGTGGTATGGGGTCTCTTTCTCTGGCTCGGGTCCCCAAACAGAAGGAATTTTCCTTACCCCACAGCTCTGTCCCCAAACCAGGGAAGAGGCCATCCTCGTTCTCTTTTGGGGACCCCACGCCTACCCACACGGGAGCCAGATTGAGCCACCCCAGGCGGGACATGATTCCGGACCTGGGGCCCTTTTCTAGGGGTACAGCAGTCCTCTCTTAAAACACTGGTGAAAAGGCTTCAGTGAGACCCTGTGAGCAGCTGGTCAGCCAGGCCCGTTCCCCGGGGACCTAAGAAGTGGGTCAGCCTTCTAATGTTAGAGACGAAAGGGTCTTCTAATATTAGAGACAAGAAACCATCTTGTCTGACTCTCCTATTTACAGATGAGCAAACTGAGGTCAGAAAAAGACCCGGGTCACAGAGTTAGTGGCCCAAAGAGATCCCAAGTGTCCTGGCACCCAGGGAAGGCGGCCAAGACGGGAAGCTGGACGGGCCATTGAGAGGGCATCGGGTCCCGCCCTGCCTCCACTTCCCCCTTCCCCTTCCTGGGCCGTCCTCCAGTGAGAGGCCCAGAAATCTCAACAGGGCAGAGCTCAGAAGCAGATGTAGGTTTTATGAAGCCTGAAGCACATACAACTTGGGGCATCTTTAAAAAAAAATAAATAAATACAAAATTAGGTATTAGCAGGGGCTTGTGTGAGCGAGCAGTCATGAAGGATGATGTTTCACTAGCTCCACGGTAAATCCGCCTCCGGAAAAGCTGAAGCGTGGGCTTGACCGTGAGGTCTTAGCAGAAATGGGCTTAGCTGTAGGTAGAGGGCTGGCCCCTCTACAGAAGGTGCAGGGAGATGGGGTGGGGGCTGCTTTGTGCGTGGTTTGAGAGGATCAAGCAGTGGGCACTTGCAAAGACCCAACCCCAGTGACACCCCTATCCCAGGGGAGAAGGAGTAAGAGTCCCCCATACAAGGCCCATCCTCCCTCCTCCACTCTGCCTCACCCCCAGCTGCATCCTCAGAACTGGGATAACGCCTCCTGAGGGGTGGTCTTGGGAGGGAATCGGGCAGTGTCTGGAGACCTGACCAGCAGAGACTTCAGTGAAAGCAGCACTGCGTTCTCCT